TCTCTACCATATTTTTCCTTCGTTTAACCATCGTACCTTAGTCTCAGAAACAGGATTTATTTGGCTAAGCTAATCAGTAATAGTGTTCACAGCTCACTGTCGCCTTATTAGCTCTTGTTAATAATAACTAGTTTCTTTTCAACTGTCCCAACCTAATATATTGCATATTTTACTTTCTGTTGCTACTCTCAAGGTTTTTAAAGATCCCTCGTCAGCTGGAAATCGAAAAAGATCAGGCTAATGCGGCTGTCCTGGCAAAATTTCCCTCATGGCACCCTGCATGGCGTTGCCCGTCTTCATTAGCCCACAAGGTGCAGAAAAGTAGGACGTAAAACTCCATTCATTTCATTTCATTTACTCTCAAGGTTATTAATTAGTAAAATGTATTCTAGTTTTTTTGAGGCCTAGTTAAGATTATGATTTGGGTTATTTCTGCTGTGGATGCTAGGTACAGTACAGGTTTTGGCCTTGTGGCATTTAGAGATCCACAACTTCTAATCTTGGAAAAAGTTTGGTTTTATTCAGTGTTTTTGAAGTTTCATATAAACCAAAATACAATGTATTAAACAGTTATCTGGTTTGATATTGGCCTGGCTATTATTATTAAAGATTGACATATCTAGGTCATGTATATATATATATAACTAATTAGCCCTGGAGGCCTGTAGGAAACAATGTTTTAATGTTATTAAGTTTAATTACTAAGTCCTACTTTACTACTGTATGTATAGTTGCCTACTTTACTACTGTATGTATAGTTGCCTACTTTACTACTGTATGTATAGTTGCCTACTTTACTACTGTATGTATAGTTGCCTACTTTACCACTGTATGTATAGTTGCCTACTTTACTACTGTATGTATAGTTGCCTACTTTACTACTGTATGTATAGTTGCCTACTTTACTACTGTATGTATAGTTGCCTACTTTACTACTGTATGTATAGTTGCCTACTTTACTACTGTATGTATAGTTGCCTACTTTACTACTGTATGTATAGTTGCCTACTTTACTACTGTATGTATAGTTGCCTACTTTACTACTGTATGTATAGTTGCCTAGTTTACTACTGTATGTATAGTTGCCTAGTTAACTACTGTATGTATAGTTGCCTACTTTACTACTGTATGTATAGTTGCCTACTTTACTACTGTATGTATAGTTGCCTACTTTACTACTGTATGTATAGTTGCCTAGTTTACTACTGTGGAATTGCAGGAACCACAGACATCTGATTGAAAATTGGAATGGTGTAAATTGAAGCTATCACTGTTTTTGATAAACATATGTTTTAAAAAAACTAGCTATTATAGTGTTTATTTATAAACAATATTAAACTGTTATGTATTCTCTATAATTTTAGACCCTTGCCAGATTAAAAGAAGAATTTTTATTAAGTCGTTATGGTGGTTCGTCTCCTGATGTCTCAACCTTGTCTTTAAATCAAGATCGTTCCACGACGGCATCACAGACAGATTTACGTGGAGAGGTAGGCATCACAATTTATTTCCTTAACACACAAGTTAATAAGAAACAGGAAGTTTTTAGCTGAGTCAATCAGTAGTTCACTGTCTTCAAATCTGTCTTCATATGTGTCTAGTATTACATTAACGAGCATTTTCCAGCCAACCT